ATTTTCTGCCCTTTGCCCACTGGGATGAGTTCTCTAAATAACTCCCCTTGCTAGCATCACATACTGATGTTAATTGCAGTATTGGCTTCAATAGAAGCAAGGGCATCTTGCAGGAGTTGGTCAGAAAAGGTTAAGACGTTAATGAAAATCCCTTATTAAGGATCTGATGTTTTTATGACTAGTGATGGCAAACCTTTTTGGCACTTAGTTGCACATCCAAAGGGATCACTCTCTGGAAAAGCTTAACTTCCGGGTTCTGTCACACAAGCACACCTGACAATCAGCTGGTCAGCACGCATGAGCATACCAGTTTTCGGCACTGCCTCATGTGCAAAGGACAGCTGATCATCGCATGCACATGCACGCCAGAAACCCGGAAGACAAACAGGCAAGGCCACATGTGCCGGGCAACATAGCTTCGCATGCACTTTGGCCACTTATTACCTAGATCAGTGTTTTTCAACCTTTTTGTGCAAAGGCACACTTTTTTCATGAAAAAAATCACGAGGCACACCACCATTAGAAAATGTTAAATTTTTTTAACTCTGTGCCTATATTGACTATATATAAAGTAATTCTCCCACGGCACACCTTACACTATGTCACGGCACACTAGTGTGCCGCGGCACAGTGGTTGAAAAACACTGACCTAGATAATTACAAGAATTTATCATTGAATTCACAAAGGATTGTCATCGCAGTACAGAAGACTCTGCTATTATGTCCTACATTTAGACTTCCTATTGATCTTTGCTAATAGAATGCACAAGTCTTGGATTTAGCAGGGAATTTTATTTGTATTTAATATTTGAGGTTTTGAACAGGATAATGAAAATTCTGGTAAATATGTTTAATCCAGCTTAATTGTATGAACCAGAAAAATTCATTATTCATCATGTTAATTATGAACTTTAATTTCCTGTCCCTCTTTTATTGTTCTGTCACTTTGCCTTTTTCCTTTTTTTGTAGCTCACAATAAACACATGGGAACAGTTTGAAAGAGACAAAGAAACAATTGTCAAGTATTTGAGTCATGCCAGCTCTGCCCTTGAACGCATCTTAAGTTTTAGCAGCTTGGAGAGTTTGTCATCAGAATTAGAAAAAACAAAAGTATGTGTCCTGGAGGACTTTTGCTGTTCTGCCTGGTATTATATTAGGTTCTTTTGTATTTCTTTTTGTTTAAAAAAATGTGCATTTTATTAGTGACTTCTTGTCCTGAATGATCGTCAAGTAGGTAAGTCAGTAACTTTAAAATAAATATATATCTAAACAATATTAAGATAATTGGTTTTTAAAGCTAGGTATCCTTTCCCTTTTTGTTTTGCATCTATTGCTGATTATTTGTGTAAATCATCCAGAATGATGTTGAATTGCAAAACCTTATAAATAATGTAAATAAATTAATAAAGGCTCAATCTGGACCAAACAGAACATAGTAACGATGGGTTCTCAGGTTGTAAAGATGCATATCCCCCCCCCCCAAAAAAAATGAAAAGATGATATGCAAATTTCATGATCCTTTTCTTTACATGGTTCAAGTTAACCATGATCTAATAGCATTACAAATATAAAACATAGGTAGAGAAATGTTACAATCATGCTGGGAATGGTTCCAATTCTAAGAAAACTGAAACAGAAGGAAATTCTGTATTATTAACCAAAGTGTCTTTAAGTTGCATATAGTGAGGAATTCCTCCTTTTAAATCAGATATTCTTGAATTGGTAATTTTTAAAAACCTATTTTTGTATTTAATGTTTACAAGAATATGGAGCAAATTCCAATAATAATAATAGCAAGTTCACTTACACTTATATACCACTTCACACTGCTTTACAGCTGTCTCTAAGCAGTTTATACAGTCACTTTATTGCATCCAACAATCTGGGTCCTCATTTTACCGACCTTGGAAGGATGGAAAGCTGAGTCAACCTTGAGCCGGTGAGATTCAAACTGCCAAACTTCTGGCAGCCAGCAGTCAGCAGAAGTAGCCTGCAATACTGCATTTTAACTCCTGTGCCACCATGGCTCATAATAATCCATAATAAACATCTGGAGCACCACTTGAACACCATTAACATTGACAAAAACACCATTAGTCAATTACAAAAGACAGCTTTACTGGAACAGCTTACATCCAGCGATGCTACACGTAATACCATCAAAAAATATTTTCTTCCCTTCCCTGGTGTTTGGGAAGAACTTGATAGGTATAAACGCCAATCACAGTTAAACATCTGGATGACTGTGTGATCATGGATGATCATCCAGGTAATATCAACTACCACTTGTTGGCAAAACATTACTGAGAATGATGTTTAACTTGCCCCTCCTCCTTTTCACAGGAACTTTCCAAGCAGACTGTAGCCATGGCCATGGAAGCAGAGAATCTGGTCAGGAAGTCTTTAGCCATACAGCTTGGTCAAAGAAGCAAGGAGAGTCTTCAGCAGCAAGCAAAGTCAATTCAGGAACAAGTTAAAAAAGTAGAAGCTACACTTGAAGAAGAGTATGTCCTTAAATAGTCATAATATTTTGTTTCCTGACACAAGGAATGTATCTTTTTTGCCTTATATTAGTGCAGTGTTAAGTCTTAAAGACTTTGTAAAACTGTGTCATAAAATAATAACTTATCTATCAGAAACGACTGTTTTAATACCAAGTGTGGTAGAAGATCTGAGGGGAAAAAAAGAAAGTATCAATACATTCCCTAATTGAAAAAAAATATGTTCTTGGTTCTTTAAGTGTCCTTATAATTATTGTGTGAAGGAGCCATTGTGAATCAAATTTTATGCCTTTAGGCTGATTCTTCTCAAGGCGAGAAATACTTTGAATTGACTACAAAAGTAAAGTCATACTAATGCACTTCAATATTCAGTGCAGGAATAAAAACAGAAAATTATTTCATAAATGTTAGCATTGATAAATAATGTCATTTCATAAAATGCCTCAGGGTATTTAGAAAAATCTACTATCAGTCTGCTTTTTAAAATATTTTTCTTTACAGTTCAACTGAGTGCGTGAGAACCTAAACTGTGCCTTTCTCTGCCTGAAATGTGCCCTATTTATTTCTTTTTCTCATGCTATTACAACTGATAGATAAAATACCTATCTATCTTATTTCTTTGTATCCCTTTGTATTTATTCACTAGGATCTGGCTGTTAGAATTTGGAGATTAGAAAGCATTACACTGAGAGCTATATAAAAGGAAAAATCTAGCAACTTTTATTACAGAGTGAATTTAATGCTTTATACTTTGTTTCATCTTTACCAGAACAGGCAAATTTTATTCCCATTTTACAAATAAGTCCATGAGGCTGATTTAATAATTTTGAACAAATTAAATCA